TTGCTGCCAAAGATGTCAAACTTGAATAATAATTTAAGATGATTTAATTGTTTGTGTATACTGGAAATTGAAGCTTATTATTGCATCTGATATCAAGCAAATTCTTTATTTAGCAAAGAAAACGTTCTTCAGGGAAAAATTGAGCTTCTATGACTCAATAGTTTAGAAAGTGATTTTTGTCTAAGACCTCTATGACATAGCACGGATGACTAATGTAAGGTATGACAATATGATTATTTAGATTCTATGGTGTGTAAGGTTGAGTCTTGCTGTACATATACATAAAATTATGAAACGTTGTAGTTGCATGTGGCATTTGCTCATATGATTATCGGAATAGGGCGTAACAATGCACTTTTCTTCTTGGGCATTTTCTTGGCTTGTTTCTGTTCTTCACTTATATAAAGTCCCCCTTTTTTTTTTTTTTTTCCTTTCGTTATGATATTCTCTGTTTTCCATAACGTACAGGTTGAATGGGATGAGATAAATGCTGCTTGGGGCCAAGCTTGCCTTCTCCTTCATACAATGTGCCAGTATTTCCGGCCAAAGTTTCAGTATCTTTTTTGATTAAGACAATAGGATCATTTTGCTTACTGCTATTTTATTTTGGTTAAACTTTTTCCACGTCTTCATATGAGAGCCATTCATAACTCCAGAATACAGTTCCCATACTTCATTCTTGTCGATCAAGCCAAAGTTTGCTATTGCTATGCACTCTCATTTAGACGTACTAGTACGTCATCCTATTTTGCTTTTGTATGTGTCTAGTTCAACATCCGTGTCTTCTAGAATCCACTGAGATATTTTTCGTTGGTGAAAGAGAATCTGATTGCCGAACCTATTTACTTTACAAGGAGGAACTGTGTCATACTTCTTGGTCTTCTTAGAATTGTTGTCTTATTCTGTAAACAGTAGTACAGGTACTGTTGTTGAATTGAAGTCGCATAGCAAACTGGATCATTCGAGCTCCTACTTGCTATTGTGCAATTAGCTTCTATTTTCATATTATTGTCGCTCTGCATTCTTCATCTGATTTATTGCAAATGACTTGTGACGTATCCTTAATTATTCAATCCTCAGATCTAAAGTAAAAATAATTCCTATGGGTAGCTACCCTCGCATCATGGACAGCAACAATAGCACTTTTGAGTTGTGAGTATGCTTTATACTTCTATTATTGTTTGTTTTTTATTGATACATTGTTAAGACCTCTGTTGGTATCTGTTACATCAATGTGAAAGGCTATGAACAAAATTTACAGACAAAAGCCTATCAGCGGTGTAATTTGATGAAACTTCTGCCTTCGGTTTGTTCCCACACTTGTCCACGGGATCATTATTAATGGATGTCGGGATTTTTCAGGTTTGGTCCGGTCAACTTGTTTTGGAGCACCCGCTATGACAAAGCAATGACTTTGTTTTTGGTATGCCTCAAGGAATTTGCAGAATTTGCCAATTCTAAGGATCAGGAGAATAACATTCCACCTGAGAAGTGTTTCAAATTGCCTTATAAGTAAGTTCTACATATGTGGCAATGGATTTTATAATGTGTCTTGGGATATTAAAGTTACAAATAAATAGAAAGATATCATGCATCTTGATTTTAACAGCCAAACCTGTGTTAACACAATTTAGTCCCCACCCCCAAAATAAATAAATCCTTTCCACATCCACTGTTCTTAAGTTCAATACTTTTTCGTGGAGTGCCAAAATCAGTGAAACAATACTGCAGAAAAGCAGGCTCGATGAATAAAGTAGGCAATCTTGGAGGAAGTTAGAACGGATTTCAAAATAGGAGATAATGAGAAGATTTAGACTACGGGATGACAGATTCATAGGTTGTTTTTGTGTTGCTTTCCTTAGTTTTTGGTCTTTCTTAAAATAGAGTTCTTTCCCCTATTATTTGTTCATATATTTAATTATATTTATTGGATAAATGTATAATATGGTTATCATACTGTGGGATTTTGATCAAAGAATGGGTGCTTACTTTCTAATTTTAGTGGAAGAGAATGAAGGAAAGATGGGGAGTGGGGATCTGTTATGATAATTATGCATTTTTTAATGTGTACAACCTTAAAATACTTTGCTTTGATTATAACATATACATTGGCAATTGATGGAACAAACAAGAAACCTTACTTCCTCACGAAACAACAAACTCTTTTTTTCCTTCCCATTACACACAGTGAAACCCCCGGGGGGGCCCAACTTAAAAAAAAAAGAAAAGACATGGGTGTCACCTGGCATACTTTGTATATGTACTTCTGTCACATATAATGGCGAATTGCTAATTGGCAACTCTGAGCCTGACGGTTTAAATACATTTTGGTCCCTTCTGCTGTGTGTGTTGATGAAGTCGATGAAATAATAGACTGTTTTAGTTTTACTTTGTGCTTATCTTAGAGGAAGTGCTCAAAGTCCAAGAATGGCTGAGGAGCTTGAGAAAATATCTAAATAGTCATATTTTGATGCACTAAAGTGCATCAAAAGTTCTTGTGGTTTATATTTGAGCCTGCAAGAAATCAATTGATCGGTACTGGAGTGCCTGCCCCTCTTGCAAAACATGCTTTATAGTTTTAAAATCCGTTTACTTTTCATGGATATAACTGGTATGTGATTTGTAAACCAAATCAGAACATGAAGGGGTGTGTATAAATGTGGTTTATTTGTATACCTTTTTTTTTTCCCCCCACAGAACTTGTGTACAATCTGTAACCACTTTCCCCTTTTTTCCTTCTCATTTGTTTTGGTTTTTAGAATGACAAATACCATGGGCTGTTGATTTTGTGGGATTGATATTGACAAATTCGGTAACTACCATTTTACCAAAAACAGCTTCAATTGGCAGGAGTCTCAAACTCTCTCTCCCTTCCCTCCTTTTTTCCCCCCCTTATTTTCTTTTACCTTTTTCAACTTTTTATGGATTGCATTGAAACGTAATTAATCAAAAGTGGTTGCTGCATGTGTTGTAGCTTATACACAACCGAGAACCATCATTAGTTATTTTGGGTTAGAATGACAAATGCCCTGGGCTTGTGATTTGTAGGATTGAAAATGACAAGGTGGAAAACTACTCCATCACTCAGAGCTTCAATAAACAAGAAAGTTGGACTAAAGCTCTCAAGTACACTCTCTGCAATTTGAAATGGGCACTCTATTGGTTCGTTGGAAATACGAATTTCCAGCCTCTTTCTGCCACAGTGCCTTCCCGTGCTGAAGTTCCGGCCGTAGGGTCTTTGTACATGAAGCGAGGTAATGAACCGAGGTCCGAATCTCGGAAGTAAATACATGGTAGGATTTTGGCAAAACATAAATCTGTACAGATCAATACGTAGTATTTGCCATGTCTTTGAACATATACCGTTTCAGTTTCCAAACGGAAAGCAGATTTTTCTTTTCTTTTCTTTACTTTTTCTTTTGTTTTTTTTGGGGTTCTATAGGTAAATCTTCTCTAGCTTCCCCACCTTGTCAGCTCTAGTCATATGCTTCTATTTTCTCAGTGCTTCTGCCTAGCTGGCCGTATGGCAGGAGCGAGGGTTGCTGAATGTTTAGATGTTTACTCTGTCTGTAGTTGTTTAATAGAATTAAATTATGCATGAATAATTTCTGCCACCGCTTTACCACACTAACTCGTCAGAGAACCTCATCATCATGTGGTGATTTTGTAGAACCTATAAGGAACCTAGGAATGGCACCATACGACCCAAATACAAAAGATTTGCAAGTAAATCATGACATGGGCATGTGGAAGGTGAATTTCATCAGATATACATGTCCAATGTGAGTGCATGCGTTCTTGAATTTGGTCCTTTTTTTGGTCCCTTAGCATAATCTATACGTAATCTTTTCCCGGAAAAAAAAAATGGGATTCACTTTAATATGGCACCTCTCAATTCGCTCTTTTATTTCTGTATGAGGTGTTGAGAAAAAACGGAATATCCTTATCGTTATATGGTTTTGTGTAGGTTGATGGTGGGTTTCGCATCCTGCCACAATCTAAGTCTAACGTTGATCGTAGTGTGCTCCAATAAGTAATTCCTCGTGTTCGTAATTTTTTCCCAAAAAAAAAAAAAATCTTTTTGCTCATTTTTCCATGGCCTAACAATTCATGTTTTCTTTCTCCCTTATGAGTCATAACCCTGTCGCATTTGATCAACTCTGGCTACCGGTCAATCTTGCTTTCTGAATTACACTTACCAAAGCATACAATTTTGGATGAGTATCATTTTCTTCCGAAAACAGTTATCTGAATTTTAGATGTTGTGTTCTTTTCACCATAGAAGTTATATATAGCGGACAATTCGGAATTATTATTTTAAAAGATAAAATGAAGATAAAGATGAGTAAAAAATCTGTTTTTATTTTAACTAAACAAGTCAATTTTAGTAATATAAAAGAAGTATTACAGTCACTGGAAGTTAAAAAATAAAAAGGAAAAACAAAAAATCGATGATAAACTTAACGAACACTATCCAAACAAGGCCTTGTATAAGAAGATAAAAAGATGGTAACATGAGGCAACCTTGAGGTGCGAGGGCACATCCTCTTTGGCAAGAAAATATTTTTGTTTACGAAGGGAGCTTAATAATAATAATAATAATAATAATGATAATAATGATAATAATAATAATGCTGTGAGGAAAAAAAAATTAATCCGCACGTCATATCTCTCTAGCTTTACGTCATTTTTAATCAGCTCCCTCCAGCAATTATATTGCAGGAACATCATCAGAAAACTGAGTTCCGCGGAAGCAAGTCACTGAACTTTTCACACAAAACACCAAAACAAATACACCGTCACTCCGAAATGAGGCCGATGCAATTCCTCAATTTGAGTTCCCAGGCTCACCAATTCCCTCTCCCTCTCCCTCCCTCCCTCTCTCTCTCTCTCTCTCTATATATATATATATATATGTTGTTTCCACAATGCATAAAATCATCAAGCGGCGAACTAATTCACTCAAACAGACGTAGTGGTTTCTTCAACTTTGAACGAAAATGGCCGGAGCTTCTTCCACGTTCCAAGTGATGGCAGCCATTATGGTGGCCATTGTCGTGGTGATTTCAAGCTCCGAAGCTCAGGATCATGTGTCGCCGAAGGCGGCAGTTCCATGCAAGCGGCTTACTCTGGCGATTACTCCTTGCCGTCGATACTTAATGGGATCGGAAGCAAAGCCTTCAAGACTTTGCTGCCACGGCGTGAAGAACATTAACGAGGAATTACAGAGCAAAGAAGACCGGATCGATGCATGCAAATGCATGAAACAAGCACTGTCCCTAGTGGGCACATATGATCCTAATCGCATTCCTATGATTCCTAAACACTGTGGCTACTCTTTCGCCCTTCCTGCCATTCGTAAGAACACTGATTGCTCCAGGTATGCCTCTCTCTCTTAGCTTTCTCTCACTATATTTCTTGGATTTCATCATGTTTACTTTACGTAGCAACTTGGAAGATAATAACTTTTCTTTTGCTTATGCAGGGCTGTGGAGGGTGGATTTTAAAAAAAAATTGTATAAATAATTACTCTAAATAAAATAAATGCTCCATGTAACTTGCCTGGTCAACGGAACCTGTGTTGCCAGGTGCTTAACTATCCCCTGAAAGACTTATTATTATGAAATTTTCTATACGTATCAGTATCAGTGTTTTTGTTTTGAGATTACTATCATCTGGTATCAACTACTAATTTATAACTTAAATAATTTAATTTAATCAGTGACATATCCTTAAGAACCATAAATTTACGTACAAATAATCAAATACCATATCATCTAATTCATAAAATTTTGTTTATGACCTGGTTCTGTGTAAAATTTACTATTTAATTGGCATTGATATCAAATTATTAGTCTGCTAGAAAACACAGCACTGCATCTCTCAGGTCTCTTCTTTCTCTGGTTTTCCTTGATTCCAATCTTGTGGGCAATATTTGAAGCACCCGGCCTCAATGCAAACACTTTTCAAGGCAATTTCAAGGAAAGGAGTAAGAGATCAGAAGAGCGAAACTAAGAAAGAAAAATCTCATACACACTTTATTTTTCATACATAATACCCACTACTGCCACCACTTTTAATAGCCTCTTCTCCTAAGATATTTTCTTGCAGTCCAAGCCATCGCAAGTCTTGATAAAAATTTAGCCTCTAAGCAAACCATCAATACGTTTTCACACAACTTTTCTGTTTGACATGTACATTTTCACATTGTAATCACCCTAAACTAAGATTATCCTAAAGATTGCGCGGTGAAATCAGGCTCAGTTGGCTTCTGAGGCAGCAGAGGAAGCAATCTCTGAGGCATTCTGTTGTTTCGTTCCCCCTTCTTTCGCAGCCTGCGTAAGGCATTGGCAGCAAACCTTGATGCATATATGGTGGCACCGAAACTTACAGAAGAACCTTCCTCTTTCGCCAAAGCATCTTGTAGCCTGTTTTCTGCTTCACGTAAAGATTTCTCAATCTTCCTTTTACAGTGGCGACGCCAAGCTACTTGTATGAAACAGGCCGCCCATGTCCTCCATTGCAGGGAATAGTACCTGCACAGACAAAAACCAGTCAACTGAGCTATATATCTTATCAACTCAGAAAAGTAGATAACTGATCGAGGATGTGGACTAGTATAGAAACGTCATGACATAGGCCTTACCTGAAAGTGTGCTGGATGTGTTTGTTGTGAAGGCGTCGAAATTGGGAAGCAACGAGCTTCAAGTCATCAGCCATGAGAGCGAAGGCTTCAACTTCTGATAAAGATTCTACTGTTCTGGTTGAAATGGGAAGATTTGAGGATGAGTTGGGGTCCAAGGCCCATGTTAAAAGCTCCTCCCCACAGAAGTCACCTGCCTTAATAACGAAGGAATTGAAAAAACCAGTTCTTCCACCGTTTGTCGTCATAGTTGCAAGGTTTCCTCGCATAATGAATAGCATTTGATCCACTGGATCTCCTTCGCGAATAATGGCGCTCTTTTCTGTATACAGTACTGGCTTCAGCCTGTCACAAAGTGCATCCAACAATTGCTCATCCATTTTCTCAAACATTGGCACCTGAAACAATCATAAACATATGTTCATACGTCAGGAGAAGAGACATGTAAGCATGTTTAACACACTTATGGAGCCCATAAATGAAATATATGTATCTTCCTTGATGGAGAGATGGCTAAAGATGATACTCACTTTCTTAAGTAAATCCAAGCAAAGATGACGCTTTATGTCTCTTCTGAGATCTTTAGGAAGATTTTGGATTAATGTTTCCTCATCCACTCCCCTGTTTTCTTGCCATTTGTAATGCTCATACCGCCTGATTCTTTCCCTCAAGTGCTCAGGTAGCATACGGTGGGACATCCACCGCTCTGCGTCCCGCCTCTTGATTCTCATTTCTTCAACTCTAACAGTCACAGATTGTAGATATTTCTGCAATCATATTCAACACAAGCCAATAAGTCAAAAACAGGAATTTCAACGTTGCCAATTTTGTAACTTTCAAAATGGTGGAAACCCGGTTCCCAATGGATTATATGGAATCATTAGATTCTTATATTCATTCCTTGCATTCAATATAGGTGCATGAGCCAATAGAAGCTTAATGAAATGGGGGTGTCAATAGACCTCGCCGCTTGAAACATTCAATTTTGTTAGTAAATTACTCTACCTACACCTGCCTCTTTCGGATACAGAGTGTGTGTTTTGTCTACATGAAATTCACCCGATTTTAAACTCCTTTCAATTTGCATAACAAAAAGAAATGTGAGATAAACTTCAATTGCTAATAGGGACATAATGTGATAAAATTTTAGTGAAGAAAATAAAATTTCTTATGCATCAGATGAGCAACATGGACCTGCTTCAAATTACAAATGTTTGCTGTATTGCGTCTCTGGGAAGACAGCTGTGAACTCTGCATTTACTAAATGGTTCAGGCCAGTCTTATAATTCTAATAAATAATCACCTGCATGTTTCCAATGAGCAATGAGAACAAAACCAACCCAAAGATTGCGATGAAGCAAGCAAAGATGATCTCCCCGACATATGTACTTGTCTTGAGATTTTGTCCCAGAGAACTGCAGAGCATAGGACAAAAATGATGGACTTTTAGTATGTTCTTTCCTTCATATAAACGTCACACACATACATGAATCCATAAAAACTTAAAGAGGCCAAAAACTAAGATAAGTATACAGATCTGGAGTTTATAAATGTGGGCCTTGCATGCGATGTCAAGGACATAGATTACTGAACAACCTTACATTGCGCAAACCCCACCAAAAGCAGAAGAAGATCTTTTGAGGAAAATCCGTTGTCGACTCCACCACACGAGATTGTAAAGCGTCGGTAAATATTCCGAAATTGAAGACTCTGGGGTTGTAAATTTTGTCAGGATCCTTGAAGGGACAAGAATTATTGAGACGTGCTATGACATCTGGATTCCGGTATCGACAGCGCATGTGTGTAGACAAATTAGCAATCTTCAATTCTCTGTGCCAGCACCGAAGCTCTGATTCTACTGAAAACAGGTACCAGAAAGCTCCAACCACCTGGCACGCCACATTTACATGGTGATCAAGGAATCTAGCATAATATCGAGTATTATAGAAAAGCTTTTTTTCATAAGCAGTAAAATTAGCTTACATGACTTGCTAGCATATAGAGAAAGAGATTATAAGCAGCGCCGGCCCATGCTGTCTCAGTCAGTATGCCAGAAGTTCTAGTAACTTCTGTGAATAATGGATAGATCCGAAGAAATCTGGGGACATATTGGATTAATATTGCATATTCTAACCAGTCCTTTTCTAGAGATGGAGCTGAACGTCTCATGGCTAAAACAACCGCCTGAATAAGAAAACATCAAAAGTGATAAAACAACAGCAAGTTATGTCTAGCGCATCAAATGAATGGAAAAACGTGACAACAAAATGCTTTTATTTTGCTTCCATGGTACCCAGAATAGGAAAATACCGAGTAGGGCAATAATTCTGAAGCCATCTTTTGAGATGATATCAAAATTTCTGTGACCAGATAATTAGGGGTTTGGTCATTATCACTCTCATTCTTCATATTTAAATGTAATTTCATCGCAAAGTCAGTGGGCCTGTGTTTTGTCTACAGTCCAATAAACTTAATGTAAAGTGTCAAGAGTTATCCTAAGAGACAATCACATGTCTTCGCTTAATAACTTTGGACTTAGAGTGATACTTGACAAAGATAAAGGAATATTTTTTTGCTTATTATTTTCACAGCTTTGAATCCACTAAACTCGTTCTATGAATTTTATCACATGTTTACAAGTCAAAAACGCTCAAGGGTCAAGTGACTTCTAATGATATACAAGGAAGCAGTTCAGAACGAGCAGAAGAGGGAGATACCTGTGGAACTGGAATAATTGACAGGATGTCAATGATGAAGAATGAAGATAGGTATCTTTTTGCAATAGCCTGAGGATCATCAACGAGCTCACCCCTACCAAATACTCGAGAAGAAGGGGCGATAAAGCCCGTTTGAAACTGAAATGTTATGTGGAGAATGTAGAAAAGGTCAAAGAATGTACGAAGGGCACTGGCAGTGATCTGCAATGGTCTATTCATATCAAGGCATTTTCTTTCGTTATCAACAACTGGGCTGTAGAAGAACAGAGGATCCACTGATACTGCCAGTACACATGTGATCACAAATATTTTGTTCCATTTCTGAAGGAAAGACCCCTGTGGATCAAGAATCTTCCTCTTCGAAACTGATTTCTTGGTCGCTGCATCACTTATTGGATGCAAATTTATAGGTTTTCTCAGGGTTCTAATCTTCTCAAGCCTTCTCTGGATTCTTCTTCGAATATTCTTAAACACAGCTCTTACTCTTGGTCCAGCTTTTCTCTGACGATATCCAGCATCAGCAGAATTTGTTATCTCCGCACTGGAAGATGATTCTGAACTCCAGTCCTTAAACCTAGAATGAGATGTAAACATAGTAAGTAGCTTAAACAGCAAGTACCAACAATATGTGAGCATCATCTTCTTCACAGCAATCTGCGATCAAGTTTTAAGCTCTGACAAAAAAACATCAGATCTAGTCTGGGAGATTAAACCGAACTGTTGAGTAATGCATGCTTCAAATCCAAAGCAGACTTGTTCAAATGCAATTAGGGTAGGGCAAGGTTATCACCAAGATAAAGACTACATTGTTATGTTACCTAATCATATGGAAGAAAATAAAAAGAAATGCACTAGGCAAGCCCCCCAAAAAAGAAAAATTTTAGTCCTAGGAAAGAATACTGTCGGGAGACCCAACTCATGAAGGTAAGTAGACAAGTCTTTCATATCTCTTTCATGATTTTAAGTCCACTTATCTTCTATTTAGACCTGTTGCCTCGTAACATAATCAAACGTTAATAATTACCCTACTCAGAACACCATATTTTGTACTGAATGAGGGACCAAATTGCTCTATTTGCTGTCAAGCTCCTCTACATGAAGAGAAACTAGAATCAAAGTTACGAGAAGTTCCTTTCTAAGGTACTACTCGTGCTCAAGTTACAATTCAGTCTTCTCAATGTTAAAAAGATGTTCTGAATTAGTAATTCTAACAAGCATCTGAGCCTGCTTTGAGGACCATCCATGATATCTCTGAGAAACTCAAGTGACCGCTTTGGTGGGAACATCTGATTTTTAAGGCGGTTAATTTTATTTTTACGAAGCTTCGATCCATAGTTGGAATTTTCCTGAAAAATGAACGTTTCATCCAGAAATAGATGACAGAGGAAGTGCAACTGATACAGAGAAAGGCAGCAGAAGCTTCGATCCAGAATTTGCAGCAGAAGTGCAAATGAACATCTGATTTTTAAGGCGGTTAATTTTATTTTTACGAAGCTTCGATCCATAGTTGGAATTTTCCTGAAAAATGAACGTTTCATCCAGAAATAGATGACAGAGGAAGTGCAACTGATACAGAGAAAGGCAGCAGAAAGAAACTGAAATATTCATGTCAAAAAATACCCAAAAAGAGGAAGTAACAGAAATATGTAGAAATGTGTGGGATAAAAATGGTTAAAACCATGACTAACAAACTAACCTCACAATTTTTTGTCCCTTGGCATCCATCATTAGCCCTCTTATTCAGCCAGAGAGAAAATCTAAGCTATAGAAAGAGAAGCAATTTATTGAGTACAGAACAAGATTCAGGTCGGGCCTGCAAAATCCAACTTTAATTACGAATCACATCATCAAAAAAATTCAGGGTATTGCACACGAAATTGACCCAAAAAAAGCTGGAATGTTAAAAATATATATATATTTTAAGTTAAGAGTCACAGTACACTTGCACAGTTGGCAAAACTTAACTACTGAGTCAATGAAGTCAATCTACTAAGTCAAGTACTAATCACATGAGACACGCCAATTTATGGAGAGAAAAAGGACGGAGAAAGATTGAAAACTAACTAGGACTATTCACTGATGCAGAAGAAACCAAGATAAAGAAAACATGAATCACGTTGCATCACTCAGTAAAATACAATTGAATATGAACAAGCAAGAAACTTCCAACCTAAAAGATTTAACCGGGGCATTTTCACATCAAGTAGAACTTCATGGAAGTTTCTCGTACCAAACATGCGTGCATGATCACTACAGAAGATAAGATAGAAGATAACCGCAAGGCTACACATGGATTTGTGTCTGGCTTCTAAGGAAGTACAGAAAGGTAAAAACTTTGTTGAATGTATTTTCAGCTTTTTCTTGGGTAAAACAAGATTACAATAAAAGGAAAAAACTTGCAAAAAGTTGAAGGAAAAAGAAACACCAACCACGAACATGTGTTGATGGTTTCAAACCGCGTAAAAGGCTTTCTTTCCCAAGGCCCTTGTCATTTTTCCTTCCCTTTCTTGGGAATCAAACCAGAGGGAAAGCACGGAGCAGAGAAGCCAGAAAGACTTAGAAATGTTACATCACAAGCTTCAGAATAGTTTGTTGAACTCGAGAGAAAATCGGAGGAGAAGCGTTCAGAGATGTCTGAGGCTGAGCTTTGCAGAGCAGAGAGAGTATGTGAATGTGATAGCCGTTTTGCGGTTGCAAGAAAGACTAAGAAGCAGAGTCCACGCAAGAGTCTGGTAAGGAAGATTCATTTATTTAAGCATGCTTTTAAAAATGATTTTAAGTAAATATATGATTATGTTTCAGAAAAAGCCAAACACCCCCCAAGTTAGCCTTTACGAGTCCCAAAAATAGAAAATAGGTAGCTCCCATATATTAAAATCAGTGCCGCTGTCCATGTGGATGTGGGACCACCAAAATTTATCTCCTCCTACAGCATTTACACAAAGCTTTTTACTTTTGGCAAAAGGCAATATGAAATCCTGTTTAGATTTTATATTTAAAATCGGTGATAGTATATTAGTAAAATTTAAAAAATTAAGAAAATTTTTCCCCATTGGATAAAAATAGCCTCATCTTTTTGCATTTTGTCATCCTAACTAATTATTTGGCGCATGGGGAACCGAGGGATTTTAGGACAAGGAAATTATTTCTTATCGCTGTGTTTGGTACGGGGTTTTCGGAAGGGAGGGAAGGGAAGTTGCTCCCCTCCCCTTATTTGGTTGGTGTAATTTTTTAGGAGGGGAGGAGAGCCCCTCCCCTCCCCTCGTTTGGTTAAGATGTTTTTTAAAGAGGGGAGGGGTTCTTCTCCTCTCTCCTTCCCTTCTAGCCTTCCCTCCAAAAGTGGGGTTTTTTGGAGGGGAGGTGAGAGATAATATTTTAATTCCTTATGTACTCTTTTGATTTGTTAACCTCTAATCAGTCGTAAACATTTCTATATAAAAGAGTTCTTTTAAGCATCTAACAAGAGGTTATTAAAATAATTGTCTCCAAAATTAGTGAGCATTTGTAAACCTTTTTTTTTTCTCTGGTATTTTCTTTCATCTTCAAGGTCTTTTCTCTGATTGAAATCTATTACTTATGATTTTTTATCTTGATATTCTATAAGTGTGTGACTGTGTCTTGTAAATCAAAATTGGTAAATTGTATTATATATATAGTTATATCTTAACAAAATAAAAAAGTGAGAAAATTCATTTAAATTTTATAAGGTTAAAATAGTCAATTTTTTATTAGAACAAAATAAGGTATTATTAAAATTGCTCCCTTCTCTCCCCTCTAATCTATTTAAACAGGAGATTATTAAAATCCCTCCCTCCCCTCCCCTTTGTAACTACCCTCCCCTGTCATCCCCTTCCTTCTCCTTCCCTCGATTAAAATCCCTCCCTTCTCCTTCCCTCGATTAAAATCCCTCCCTTCTCCTTCCTTCCGTCAAGCCAAACACAGCGTATATTTCACGTTTTTATACGAGTATTAGAGTTCAAAAAACAGTGAAATATAACATTTGTTCACTTATATATAGCAAAGTAAATTACAACACTGGAACGCATTATTTCAATTTCTTTTTTCTGCCTTTCTTCTTCTTCTTGCTTTTTGCTGTGCAATCTCTTAAATATGTGGTCACTGGCTTACCACCCCTCTCTCTCCCTCTCTCTCAGTTTGTTAAATTATTGATGATTGATGATTGATGAATGAGCCTTGATTGATTGATGTTGGATGCTTTCCAAAAAGTGTCATCCAATTTTTCTAATAACGCACATTTCTTTTGTTACTTAGCTTGATTATTTTGATCTCAATTATTGATTAAATTAGCTGCATACATGAAGACCTATCATAAAAGCATACATCCCTATTTGATTACTTTAGTATGTGATGCAAAACAGTAAAGCAAATAAAAAAACATTTAATGAAGAAATAAAATCCTTTCCAACAAATAAAAAAGTAATTTAAAGTAAACTTCTTTTAGTGAAAAGAAAGGGAGAAATGGATGGTGGTGGGGCATAATGAAGGGCAAAAAAATCTTTATCTTTCGTATAAAGAAGCCATGCGCAATTTGTTTGTCAAGTCTTTTCTCTCTTGCCTGCCTCCATTAATTAATTAGAAGGTAGGGTAAGGTGTTGAATCTGGTTGGCGCAAGGGAGTTTAACACACACAAAAAAAAGGAGTGAAAATGGGATGGTATTAAATAGGAGAAATAACAAGTAAACGGACCCATAGGATTTTACAAAACACGCCTTATATTTGAATATCTATAGTCCTCATTAAACAATTTAATATTTAATTTAGTCCCTTTTAAATGAAAAAAATCTTTAATTTAATCTTATGTCTCATAATTTTCTTCTACGCGTTTTGGTCAACATCTTTCTATTTTTCATTGACTTTACCATATGTATTATCCATAATGATATTTTTTTCAATCCCAATCAAGTTGTCCATTGGCCTTAATCATATTCGCAATCACGTAAAAATCACCAGCAACCATCACATTATGAAATTATATATAAGTTTCCTTTAATATATACAAAGCTTTCTCATCCTACTAGGCTTTATTAGCTAATTAATTAGATCACTTTCCCCCTTAGCTTATTCATTGCAATCTGTAGAACAAATACTAAATAATATTTTCCCAAATATTTTATTGAAATATATGGAGAAATAATAAATAAATAAAAATAAAGTCGTGCATAACTTCATAAAATATGTAGAGAAAAATCAGGAAAAAAAATGAAATATTGCTGAAAGTAAAAAATAAAGGGAAAATGATAATAAAATACCACTTGAATTCCAAAAAGATAAATAAGGGACCTGAATAAGCAAAATGACAAAGAAGGTATCAGGTACCAATATGGGATTTTGATTTTGAATTTTACAAAACATATAGTGGGATTTACAACTTTCATAGTGAGAGTTACTACTTCGTCAATGGGTTTTACAACCTGTTTTGAAGGGCCGAGCAAGTTTTGCCTAATTTTACAAACACATAGTGGGATTTACAACTTTCATAATGAGAATTACTACTTGGTCAATAGCTTTTGCAACCTGTTTTGAGGGGTTAGGCAACTTTTCTGTAAAAAACAATACAATTCCACGCTAAATTTTACAAAACACATAGTGGGATTTACAACTTTCATAGTGAGAGTTACTACTTTGTCAATGGGTTTTGCAACATGTTTTGACATCAAAAATCAAAATTCCAGATTAGTACCCAGTGCCCTATTTGTCATTTTGCTTATTCAGGTCCCTTATTTGTCTTTTTAGAATTCAAGTGGTATTTTATTGTCATTTTTCCAGAAATAAAACACGCGCGAGATTTATGGATAGCAGTATGTCACTTTAAGTACATTCTGGATCCTCATGTGGTAGTCATAACAACCATGAGTATTATCGTTACGATACAATCTAGACCATTTAAAATTTGATATGAATTACTTATATTTAAAAGTTTTAATTTATAAATTTTTATAATTTTATTTTTTAAAGAAGCATTAATTGTAAAGTTATCTTTATTTTAAATTACATATCTATCAAAATAAAAACTTATTTAAAATATATAAATTATTTAAATTAAATCTAAGCCATTCAAAATCAATCAGAATTGGTTTAGATTAAAATGAGCAGTGATAAGTCTTACGTTGAATAACCCATGATTGGTCCCATGCTACAGGTGGTGTCCATTGTCTCTTTCTCCCTCTTCTCATGAAGAAAGGAGCAAATCTAAGCCAAAATTAATGCACCGTCTATTACTTGTAGGATGCAAGCAAAGAATAGGAAAGCGTCCCTAATGAATTTTCTGAAACAGAAAGCTTTAAATGGTCATGCACAAATCTGTACGTAATTGTCACCCGAATTCTGCAACAAGCTAGCTAAGCACACAGGCACATACACTTGCCAGGTCCAAGTGAAGCGAAGCGCACCCATTGGAGGCATTGTGTGTGTGTGTGTGTGTGTGATGCTAGTTTATCAGTATTGCATTCCTAAATTATTTTCGAGGTACGCCGTCACATCGGCTGCATGGCTCACCATTTGGGCTTCTTCAATCGCTGTGCAGTGGCGGGGAACCTGGATGCTAAGCCATGTTCATTATCTGCAAAAGCTTCTGATTTCTCAATCATCGCGACATATCGACGCCAAGCTGCTTGTATGAAACAGGCAGCCCATATCCTCCATTGCCAGGAATAGAACCTGGAGAGACAAAGAACAGTGAATCGTATATCTTATCAATTTAACATCTCTGCCATGCATAACTGGCTCTGTTTTCCATGGACTGTACTTAGCTCAATGTAAAATAAGTTTGGATTTAAACCTATCATTTGAGCCCACTGTGTTAAATTCAATATGATTTCTCTGCAAATTGTGTTCTTCACTGCACTAATATTCCACAGAGAAGGAGATAAACACATCATCAAGGATATAAACGAGCAGAAACCTGAAAATATGCTTGATATCTTCTTTGACAAGGCGTCGACTCTGGGAAACAACGAGCTTCAAGTCATTAGCCGTCAGAGCGTAGGCTTCAACTTCTGATATACATTCTACTCTTCTGGTTGAAAGAGGAAGATCTGAGGATGACTCCGGGTCCAAGGCCCACGCTAAAAGCTCCTCTCCGCAGAAGTCACCTTCCCCGATAAAGGAGGCGTTGATAAGACCAGGTCTTCCACCATAATTTGTTGGTATCACAGAATTAAGTTTTCCTCGCGTGACGAAGAGCATTTCATCGATTGAATCTCCTTGGTGAACAATACAGCTATTCGCTGCATACAGTAGTAGCTTCAGCCTATCACAAAGTGCATCCAGCAGCTTCTCGTCCATTAATTTGTCAAACACTAGCACCTGAAGGACATGTTCATATGTTGGAGAAAGTCAGCCATGAAGACACACGTAAGCATGTTAAACACTCTTATATGAAGCCCACGAATGAAATTTTATATAAATAATGCATCTTCCTCGACGGAGAGATGTTTAAAGAGGATACCCACTTTCGTAAGTAAAGGCCAGCAAAGGTGACGCTTTATGTCCCTTCTGAGATGTTTAGGAAAATTTCTCATTAACATTTCCTCATCCAAACCCTCATGGTGTTGCCATTTGCAATGTTCATATCGTCTAATTCTGTACTTCAAGTTCTCTGGTAGCTTGCGCTTGGACATCCATTTCTCTATATTCTGTCTGTTCACTCTCATTTCTTCAGCTCTAACAGCTGTAGATTGCATGGATTGTAGATATTTCTGTAATATATA